AGCTTGTTCTAAGTAGGTGCTTTAGACCACTGAGCCATCTCACCAGCCCTCAAAAGAAAATTTAGAGAAAAATCTTTTGCTATTGGTTCCTTTGGAGGAACTTGTTGTACTGGCTGTCCTGATATGAACTCAGCTGTTTTCATCATCAGAGGAGCTCAGGTCCTTGCTGTGGCTGTGGATGGCTGCAAGTCTCTTTGGGGAACTTTGGTCCTTACTGTGACCTTGTATGTTGATACACTGTGCCAACTTGAGAAATCTATAAGCTTAACTAACTCAGCAGTTCTGCATCCACTTGTATGAAGGGATACGCTTACTCCTTTACTGTGTCAATTTGAAAAGCTGAAAAGTTTAATTAAGTGACTTAACAGGAGGCCACGGTCCTTACTTTGTAAATGTCCTACATCTGTGCAAGTGGAGGGCACAGAGATTGTGTGAGTGCTACATCCAACCTAGGGCAGGTAGCCTGCATACAATATAAGGGAGAAAAGTCTTGTTCTCCCTCTTTTGCTCTTGCTGATTTTGCTGTCTTCTGTCACATGGAACTGTTGCCCCTCACCAGGCCATCCTGCATTGGAGCCAGCTGATTATGTACTAAAATTTCCACAAATCATACGCTAAATAAACCTTTATTTCCTTACCTTTGGGTGTTGGGTATTTTTGTCCCAGCAAAGAGTAAAGTAATTAACATCAGCATTGCTTCCTGGCTCAAGTGCAGATCCCTCAGCCTGCTGACACAAATCTCTCATCTTGGTGGCACAGAATTTCTGGCTTCCACCACTGACTTTTGGGTCTTCACAGTGCAGATCTTTGATACAGGCTTGCCTGAGACATTGCCAAGGGCTCTCAGCCTCCAGTTGGACTTGTGGAGGACATTGCTATGGACTCTATGCCTTCAGCTGTACTTCTGCAGGACATTGCCATGGGATCTAGGCCCTCCGCTGGATTCTTTGGGTCTTTAGTGTATAGAGAGATCTCCTGCACACTTTGCATCTGACTCTTTGAAGGAATATTATAAAATAGTCCTATAAATTATGTGCCCTGTATTAAAATGTTTCCATTACAAATACTACAAGTGGTCATGCATGTTTTGTAGTTTTGTTTTGCTCTTCTAACTTTTTTAGTGTCTTCTTTAGACTCTGAGATCATTTTTTGTTTTTTATGTATTTGGTACAGGGTCTACTATGCAGCCTAGACTCAGTGATCCTCCTGTTTTCAGCTTACCCAGTGTTGAGAGTATAGGCATGAACCACCACTGAGATAATTTGTTTGTTTGGCCAAATATTTTATTAATTATATCTTTTGTGAGTTTTTGAAATGTCTTATTGATCTATTTTCTTATCTCCCCTGATATCTTTTCAAAGAATTTGGGTGTATGGCTTTATGTTTCCTTCTTTTTAATGCCACATGCATCAGCTTTGGGGGACTTGGGAGTTTTTGTAGACTTTTCTTTTAATCTTTCATTTATTTATTTAGTACAGGGTCTCGTTATGCAGCTCAGACTCATAGGAACCATCTTGTCTCAGTCTCCCAGCAGTGAGATTACAGGTGTCCACCACCACACCAAGTTTCAGTGGCTGGCCCATTGCGTCCAGGGTTCCAAGTCAGAATATCAAGTGGTACCAGGGATCAAACCTAGGTCCTTGTATTTCCAGGCAGGTGCTTAGACCACCAAGATATCTCCCTTGACCTGGCAACATTTTCTTGTCTTCTCATGTTTCTATTTTTTTTGAGGGGTGAGGGTTGTGTTGAGGCTTGCAGACTGATCACAGTTGAAAGCTTTGTTTCTAGAATAGAGACTTCTTTAACGCCTGCTTTTCAGTGATTTGCTTTGGATGTGGCTAACTCTTGGTCTTTGGCTACTGTAAGATAAAACTACCTGAGTTTACTTGAGATGTGAAGTTGCAGGGTTCCAGGAACAGGCCACAGCATGGGTAATGCCCCAAGGTAATCCAGACATTGGTATCCCAAGGAGATCAATTAATACCAACAGCTATGTCACCTTGGATACAGTAATAATATCTAATACAAATTAAATATTGACAAACCCTAAGGACAAATGAAGTATAACCATAAAAAGAGACATCAGATTTTTTAACCATAAAAAAGAGATCTACAATTATACCATGAATACTAAGACAAATCAAATATCTACTATATAGAAAAACTTTGTCTTTGTGAACAACAGAAGAGTATTCAACAGCAATAAAGTAAACTATCTAGAGATTCCAGGATTTAGTGGTTATACTAAAAGTAGTACTAACTAGTTTAGGTATACTACTAAAGGTATTATAATTAGCAAAGGCAGAGACAAATTTTAAGCAAAATTTGGAAAATTAATCAGTGTGGAAACAGTGAGCTTTGGGGTTGAGGGCACGGGTCTGTCAGATGGTCACACTGTTTTCCACCTTGCTGGGTTGAAGGTAGTCATAGGGTAAGTCCAGGCGTGCATTCCGGTCCTCAATTTCTTTGTCCATGGTAGTCAGCTCCTCTCGGAATTGCTTCAGCACTTCCTGGGGCTCAAGACCCGAGAAATATTCCTCCGTATGCTGCCCCAGGGACACCTGGAGTGGGGCAAGACAACTCAGCATTTCAGGCTTCTCAGCCAGGAATGCTGCTCCAAGCAGCACCGCCAGCCCCCCACCCCGCCACCCTCTGCGATCTAGACAGCTACTTCTAACCATGACAGGTTGGCGTCTGCCAAGGAAGTTGGTGACAGTCCGCTGCATATGGGCTTGCTGGAGACTAGGCAGTGAGTCCAGTACATCCTTCTCTGTCACATCCTTGGAGGTGGGTGGGGGTTTTCGCATGGTACAAGGGCCATTAGGGACCCAGGAGTACCAATCCAGCTGCAGATAGGACAGGGACACTGAGCCCCAAGTTATAGCTCAGACATTTAGACACCCTCACCCTGTCTTCTATAGCCCAGTAGCCAGGGAATATAGGTTACCTGGCCCAGGTGGGCAGAAGAATGCTGACCAGTACACGTGAAGATGCACATGGTAACAAAATGACAGAGCTGATCCCGGGACTCTAAGCAGAGGGGGAACCTGGATGAAGTGAGGAGAATGAGAAATCCTGAGGCCAGGACCAGAGACAGATCTAGAGCAGGGACAGGCATCTGGGGATATGTGAAAGAACTAGAAGTGCTCCTGGTCTCTAGCTTCTGTCACCCACACATAGTGTGCACTCAAATCTTAATGAACCTGGGAGCTCTAGGGAAAGGACAGGAACAAGGAAGGGAAAATAACTAAGAGAAATCGTGCATCTGACTCCAGAGAAAGCATATAGTGCATGAGGAGGGACAACACTGCACGAGAAGATGAGAAAGAGAGCCAGAGAGATCAGGAATGACTGCTGGGATTTCCAGAAACTCTGGAGGATCAAAGAATAATCGACATTCCAAACATGTGTTATGCTGCAGGAAAGGTGGATTGCGGACAGTGTGTGGAGACAAGGTAATGGTGGGGGATCCATGCCTTACCCTCGGTCCTGGGCCCCCTGCAGTCCAACCTCAGTGACTTCTCTACACCATGCCTGCAGCTCTGGGTCCTGCTTCACAGCTTCATCACTCTTGTAGAAAAGCCCAACCATCCCTTTCACATACCTGTTCCCAAGGGAAGAAGGAGCTCAGGCTCAGGCAGTGGGTGTTGGACCTGCAGTACCCCGCAGTCTTTCCCTCTCCATGTCACCCTCACCGACTGATGATTCCCCATAGCCTGAAGGCATCTTGGCCATAGAGAGAAGATTTCACATCTAGGAGCCCACGGTCAGCCAGATCATCAGGAGGACAGAAGGAACGATATGTCAAACAAGCTGTGGCTCTCTGGAGAATATCCATGTGGCCGCCACTGCCTGTACTCACCACCTGAGAACAAAGCACGGTTGGCCAGGCCAGGCAAAGCCAGATCAGAGAGAGAGAGAGAGAGAGAGAGAGAGAGAGAGAGAGAGA